CGGCGGGGGGTGCGCGGGCGGGCGGCAGCGCCGCCGGCTCCCGGGCCAGGCCGCAATGGCGTAGTTTCTGCAGTAGGGGGAGGCGGGGTGCGGGGCGAACCTCCCTGCGCTCCCCCCGTCTCCGCCCCGCCGCCGCTCCCCGCGGGGCCCGCTCCGCGCCTGCCCCTCGCCCGCCCTCCCCTCCCCCGGCCGCCGCCGCCCTCTGTCCTCCTTCTTCCCCGTGTCCCGTTCCGCCGCCCCTCCCCGGCTCCCTGCCTGCCGTTCCGCTCCTGTCCCTCCCGCTCCGCGGGTGAGGCGTGTGCGCCGGGCTGTGACCGCGATGTGCGGGCGGAGACCCGCCCGTCCCGACCCCGCGGCTCCCCGGCCTGGGGACGGCGAAGCCCGAAATACCGTGTACAGCTCGCCCGGGGGCCGCCCGGCCCCGGCCCGCTGCGGTGGCCGGGCGGCGGTGGGTGGGGCCTCCCCGGCCGGAGCCCGCGGTGCCGGCGAGGGGAAGCAGCTCTTCGACCCCGCGGGGCTGCCCGCGCCTCCCGCCGGCTCGGAGGGGGCGGCCGCAAACAACCGGCCCTTCAGAGCCCGAGGGGCGCCGGGGGTGGCAGCCGGGAGGGGCGTCTCCGGAGCTGACCTCCGTCCCTGGAGCTGCGGGGAAGAAAGGGGCAATTCCTGACTGGCGCTGGGAAACCGTCGGGCTTTTTCTCGACTAGGTCTGAAGCTTTAAATAAGCTTTTTAAGTAGGCTCAGAGAGACCTTGTCGTGGGAGATTCTGTTTTTTGAGGATTTTTTTTTTTTTTTTTTTTTTTTTTTTTTTGGTGCGTGTGGGAGTGTCTTTTAAAGGCAGTAAAATATTGTGAAGGTGTTTAATATCTGTGGGACTTGGAGTAAAGGAGCAGGCATGCACCTGCCCTACCCGCTTTATTTATTTTTTTTTTTTTTAATTTTTACAAAAATGTATTGCCAGCAGCAATGCTCTGTAATCAGAGTTCAGTCCATAAGTTACGTAAATGTGAAAAAAAGAGGTCAGATAATACAGTTCATGTAATATTTAAATTGGTGGGTGCTTTTTGAATAGTAAGTTGGTAATCTGTCTTGCACATCATAATTTTTGTGCTCTTCAGAATTTTTTTAGAAAGAGTCTAGTAAAATAGAGATACTCTTTAAGCTTTTGATGTAGTCAAAAATGTTTGCACTCTGTGATGTTTGCAAATGAGCAGAGGTTGTTAGAAAGGGCAGTGTAGATGGGAAGGTGTATTGGATGGCTGAGTTCTCCTGCCTGAAAAGATGGAAAGTACAGCGGTGTAGATTTTTACTCTCATTTTAAATACAGATGACAACTTTAGTAAGTTTCACAATAAGTAAGTTTCACAGAGTATCTGACACTATTGGCATGTCAGTTGACAGCCCAATGATCAAAGTTCTTTACTTCTTGATGAAGAGTTTCCCAAATACTATTTAGAGGGATGGTGTTCTGTGTGCTTCTGTATCGCTGTATGGAACTGAATAAATTCCCTTGCTAATAATTTTCTTAGAACTGACCATCCAAGAAAGATAAAAGATAATAGAAACTAATACAGGCTGCTGGTTGTGGGAGCTGCTGGAGATAGCTGAATGCAAGTGGCGGTATGACTCATGAGCTGGCAGGATACAGGACATCGCTGAGATCAATTGACAATTTCTAGCATGCATTTGCACTCAGAAATTCAGAGTGCCTGATAGGATGCATTCCTTAGGAATGCACGCTGATTATTACTTGGCCCAAGTGAAGCATGTGTATAATCAATAAATTTGCTTCTCTTTCCACATACACAGCTTTTATATCTGGGGTAGCCTTATTGATTGCAGTGGTTTTCTTGTTTAGGAGCATGACCATGCAAGCTCAGTAGGAATGATACCCACTTATAATTTACTGGACATTGAATTGTATTGCTACATTTAACTCAATTATATCCATGATGCAGAGGACTAAAGAATACCTAGTCTGACTTGACTTGCTAAAAAATGCCCTTCCAAAACCAAAATCAAATATACAGGGAAAAAGTTTGACCTCCCCTTCCTTTGCGCATACAGACACCATCCCCCACCTTCAAACAGCGTTGTTAATAACCTGGTCAGTTGAGAGTGTTGTAAAGTTTTACTGAGAATATTGGACAGGCTCATATGCCTGACATACACAGCTTTATTTAATGTTACAGAAGGGGTCTGATGTGGTCAAATGCTGGGATTTTTTTTTTTTTTTTTTTAGTTTTTTTTCTATTTTGCCTTTTTTCCCCCTGAAACTTCAAAGGCTCAGTTGTTACCAGAGAAATTGAAGTAGAAACAAAACTTGAGGCAGAAGGATGTACATCCAACCCCAAAAAAAACCCATCCTGAGTACCCCCCCAAAAAAAAACCTTCAGCTAAATCAATACCAAGAAAACCCAAAATCACTGGCTTGCAAAAGGATGGTTCTAAAGTTTCTCTAAAGAAGCAAACTACTTTATTTTGAAGAAATACAGTAAGTTTAAATCTGTATTTTGACATAATTAAAGATTTGCTTGCACACTGATTCAGTTGACTGTTTTAAAAGCTAAGTGAAAAATTAATCAAAAGACAAGTGATAAATAAGGCCATGCATCAGGATAAACCAATGAGCCCTATATTGCTGTGCATGGGATTTTGATTTGGGAAGGACACTGCTCACCATGGTGTGGGTAGACAATGTGAATTAATCCTTGTTAGTGTTTGGTGGTGCTACTATATTGGCTTGTACAGGGGTGGTACCAAATTTAACCAGTCATAAATCTTTTCCCATAAAGGAGCATAACATGTCTTGTAGCACCTCTTGAAATGCGTAGAAATAATCTGTGAAATATATAGCGATGTAACTAAAGGGGATTACTTAATCCTTGCCTTTTTATGTGGTTACTTAGAAATTGCAGTACTGTTGTTGGCAACAATTTAGTTACCGTAACTTCTCTTATCAGTTTGGTATCTATGGTAATATCAAACTTGTGACCCATGATTAAAGTGTTCAGTTTGAAGCAGGAGTGCCTTGTTCTCATTCAGATCAGCTTTTCAGCTCTTCAGAATACTGAATTTCAGAATTATTTCAGAATAATGAAAGTAAGAAGTGAATGAAAGTATTTTTGAAAGGGTTGAAGAGGATCTATGGTGGATAGTTAATCATGTTCCTATAGTGTGTTTAATTTATATAAAATATATTTATCAGAAATTTGCATATAATTAATGGGGCTCTCCAAGTGAGACTCCTGTTTGTACTAGAAAAATAATTCTTACCAAGTGAAATTTATTTGTACCTTTGCTGTATTCAGCTTGAATCATTGTCTTTAGTGAGTTTTTCCAGGTTGGGTACAGAATAGTGAAGGGGGAGGGGAAGAATCGTGAGAAATCACTTTGTCAGATGGCGCTTGCAAAACTGATTCTTGCGTGCAGGAACATTTGGGAAGGTGGTGCTTAAATGCTGGTTGCACCAAATGCTGGAAATTGCAAACAATTTGGGCTTAGGTTCAAAGACGAAAAAATTGATTACTGTAACTACATCTCTTTCTAGGTAATGACTCTGTCAAGCTTTCAAACCTGAAATAAGAGTTGGCTTAAACTATTATTTTTAGCATAGTCTGCAAGCTAAGGGCTGAAGTAGCACAACCAGACATTGCCCACAGATGTTAAACTGCTCAAGTGTCCTATCCCTAGATGGGAAAGACAAAGATACAAATGTGACATGTATGGTTTGGAAATTATTTTCGATAATAGAGGAAACCTGTGCTGTGCACCCTTATTTGGAAACTTGGGGAGTTCATGTTGGTTTTCTAGAAGGTTCTTGAAAATCTCTTAAAATTTCAATGTCAAAAAATAGAAAGGTTTTCATTTTGCTTCATCAGATTGCAGGGGTGAGAAAATAACCATCTGCTGTCCGACCAGTTGTCTTAAGTAGTATAAATGATAGATGAGTCACTTAGTTCAGTTGTGGGCTTGTATCAAAGATGGCCAAAATGCTTTGCAATGACAGATAGATAATGAGCTTCCTATAAAGTTTGTTATAATGGAGGCAGAAAGTGATTCTCTGGTTAAAATACTAAGATGTCACGACAATGATATATGCTTTTGCTGTAAGTATTTAATCTGCCCTGTCACTTTTTCCAATGATAAGGCAGACTGTTCTCTGTGTTTGTTTTAAATGTATTTTCAGTTTGGAAAGTGAAATACATGTATGTGGTTCACCATCTAAAATAATTAATTTGCTTCTTAGCCCATCTTTAGACTACAATCCTCTAACTTGCTGTTGGATCCTTCCCTGGGGGGCTCGAGTCACTCCTGTGCTGACCATTCAGAAGGTCATAGTGCTTCGGCACAGTCTCATAAATGCTGAAGTCAGATGATGACTATTGATATATGCACTGGTTTTGTCAGTTCATGTCTCAGTGGTGTGAAATAAGAGATGGGTGACACACGGAAAGAAGAACCTGTTCTCCATCTGTGTGCAAGGCACGTCAGAGGGAAAGTAACCTAGCAGCCGTTTAGGTTAAAAAATGACATACTGTGCAAAATGGAATTTTAACATTCAGGAGTGTCTGCTAAATAACTGTATTATTTAACAAGCTAATTACAGCTCTTTGCTTCCAAACATGACCAATGAACTAATTTGCCTGAGGAGATTGCAATGTGGCAGCAATAACCAAGCTGTTACCACAGTGCCTTGGTACTGCACAGCTGCCGAATACATCCTTTATCCTGTAATTGCTTTTCAGCTGTTCCTAAAAGCAAATGTGTTTAACTGTGTGATCATATTTTAAGCTTAAATGTTGCTCATCCTTTTAGTGGCTAAGTAGAATATCTTTTAATCTGATGCCTTGAGGAGGAAGCTGTAGGATCAGGTGTCATTGCTTTGCTACCAGGTCTATCTTCTGAGTTCCCGTTCGCACCGTTTTCCTCAGATGAAAACTGACTGAACAATGTGTTCTCTCTGCTCGGTAATAGAAGAGGAGGATGGCTCGCAGATTTGGTGATTTAGAAGTGGAATACAATAAAATCAAGAATAACTGAGGAGAAAATAATGACAGAGCTTCAAGGTTTGAGTCTTAAGAGGGTCATTTTAGTAAGTTGGGGAGTTTCCATAGTTGTCAGCTGCTACTCAAGAAATGCACAAAATAATGGGATTCCAAAGTGGGTGGATTTTTCAGTGTAACAGAAGGGCTGTAAGAGATGGAGAAAGTGTGGCAATAGGAGCAAGATGTAATCAATAAAGTCTTGGGAGGCAGATTCTACCATATTTTGTTACTGATTTGTTGCATGGAGTTACTGGTTTTATCCCAGTAATCTTGCTCCTTACTTCATTCAATATTTGCACTTCGTCCTCTTAAAACTTCAGGTTGTTTCGCTAGTAGTCAAAAGACACAGTTGGCTGAACACTGAACTTTCACTGATCTTAGTAGAAAAATGTTTGACATACTTGCTTTGAAGGGCCCAAGTGGATCTGATTCAGTACGTGTTATCGCACATAATTAGGGGGCAGTGAGAGATGTGTAGATGGAAGGACACTGAACATGAAGATGTGTTAGGGTATGTCCTAAAAAGGTGCATAGAACAACACAGTTTAGACTAAGTATCTACCTTAATATAAGTTGGCATAGAAGGATGTAGGAAGAGGCCATTAAAATTGTGTTCCAAGTTCATTAGAGAAAACTGCATTGGATCTATAAGAACAGTGCTTCAGCTGAATGCTTTATATTTGAGTCTGTTGTAGTCTCAGGTGTTTTTAAGGGATGAAACAATGTAGACAAGATAGTAAATATAGTAATAATAGCCTCCATGGTTCTGTCTGTACATGTCTTGCATGGGTGGCATCCAGAGGTGTTACTGTAAATTCAGGGCTGTGTTTTGCTTTGCTTTGGATGCAGTATGTTTGATATATATGTCTCTGATGCTTCGTGAGAGGAAAAGGGGGAAGCAATTTGCCTGTAGTGGGCATCAAGACTTGATTGAAGGCAAAAAACAACAAACAGTTAACTTGCCCAGTTTGCAGCAAGAATGATCAGTTCGGCCCGAGTGAAAGTTTGCTTGCACTTTACCCTCCAGACTTTGAGCGGCCTAGTCCAGGTTGGTAGGCCAACAAATAAACTAAATCTGTGCATAGAGCACTTTGATAAAGATTTTCCATTTCCAAAGTTCCTCAAAAAAATGGGGAGATTTCTTTTGTGTGTTTTTGTTTTGTTTTCCCAAAGACCTGATAATGTCACAGGATGGTCACCATACTAAAGAGCTACTGAAGTCTGCTGCTACTTTTTCAGAAATACTAGCCTAATGTAACACTTCAAGGTAACTGTTTTGTATTTTAGTGTTTTGCTTTAAATTTGTTTTTAGAAGTGGAGGTGTGTGCTACTGTAGAGATGCATGTGCTACTGTAGAGATGCAGTTTTTTGTTATAGGAAAATGTGGTGGGTTTTTATTTTCATATAACTGTTAATATACTAAACAATCATTTCTCTTATGTTTTACTCTATCCAAGCAATATGTTTATAGTTTTTGTGTTTTGCTCCAGTAGTCTGTGGAATTAAATAGCTGTGGAATTGACTTCTGTTGGCAGGCTTTTGGGAAGTAAAGCCACTGAAGGCTGACTTTCAGTTTGGTCCTCAAATAATAAGAAAGCACTGTGGAATAGCAAACTTCTACGCTAGGGAAGGAAAGAAGATCTTTAAGAACGTGTACAGAATTTCCCAGTTGACTCATGTATCTGATATGAGGCAGGAAATGAAAACTTGTCTGTGTTATGAATGTCATCAAACAGTCAAACTGCACATTCTGGGTAGCTGTTGAAATAGCCACGTGGAGGGCAGCTGATCTCATTCTAGTCCTCAGCATAGAGAAGGTGTCACTTCTAGCTTTGCAAAAATTCTGATTTCCCAGTCTTTTCTCCCAGTGTAGGCATTGCTACATAATCTTTCTTCAAGCTTCTCTTAGAACAAATAGTTACCAAGCTAGAGGCTTATTGACTTGAATTTGTAACTCCTTCAACTGCTCTAAACATAAATCTTTGCTTAAGGTAAATTCAATTGTTTTTTTAGAGTATGGGTAGGGACTGAAAGGTAGTGTGGTGAGTGGACAACTAAAAAAGGTCAATAGTCAATTTTGTAGTTTATTTTGAGTTTAATGCTGGAGATAGTATTTTCTTATTTACACTTCTGTCTTTGCAGCATTGGAGTCTGTTTTCCTCTTTCACCATGGAATATACATGAACTGCTATTTGATCTGGTAGATCAGATTAAACCTCAAACTAGCAGTAACATTTCTAGAAATAGCTCGGTGGCAAACATTAAAAGCAGGCATTACAAATTGAATAGAAATTTGTGTGTGGTATATTTATTTTATTTGCTTGTCTTGTTGTCTTTGTCTCTCTTTCCTAGCCTAAGTTACTGAGTAATGACTAATGTTATTTCCCGTGTTTCTGTTTAGGGGAAAAATCCCAAAACATTTTGTCTTTTGTTTTCTGCCTTATGTTTTCCTATCTTTTTTTAATTGGTGAAATACTATTTCTGTCCTACCACCTTGTGTTTCCACTGCTTAAACGATATCTGTAAAATAAAACTTCATGTTGTTCTTGTATAGTCTCTTGTGTATAAAACAATTTCCAGAGTCTGCTCCCCATGCACACAGTAGAAGTACTGTCAAGTTCTGTTACATTGAGCTGAGCAGTTACAGCCATATATGCATCTGTTGTCCCAGGTGTATTTGAGGCTGGAAAACAGGGTAGGTGCTGTGTCTCACTTTCTGCTGCTGTGAATACTGCAGTGAGGAACATAGATGGGTGTTTCTGTTCTCTCTCATTTTTGTGTCTCTCAGTTTCTATTACAAAATAGCAAGAGGAGATAGAATGCATGGTACAATGTTTTCTAAGGTATGAATGTGAGTAGACAGCAACAGCAGGTCTTCCACCTGATTTCACTGCAGTCCTTGAGCACAAATTCATAGGAGAAGCTCTAGAGCAGAGAAAACAGCAGTGTCTTAACTGGCTTGCAGATCAAAGCTTTGAATAATCCCAGTCTGCTGTTTACATAGTGGAGTGGGAAAGAGCTTAGGCTGGCCTTTGCCACAGAAGGAGGAAGCCCCCTTGGGAGAGAGACAGACACATGGTTGAATTACTTGCTTTCTTTGAGATCTGTCTGTACATGTTAGAAAAACTTAATTTTACAGGCAGGTGCTGAAGCCCATCAGCAGTTATTTTTAAATTTGTTGTCTCTATGACACTTCTGTTGGAGGTCAGGGAAGTCTGAAGACTGAAGTAAAGATCAGTAGTCCTGACATCGTAGGGTAAGTGTCTGCTGTTCTTCTGATAGGCTTGCAAAGTTAGGGACTGCTGCTGAGTATCAGCATGGTTATAATGAAGATCAGTCCAGAAGAGGTTAAGGAAATAAAATATTTAGGCATTGTTTCAGGAAAAGTACATTATCTTTCAAGTGCAGCCAACATTCATGGGATTGTTCCACTAATTTCTGCATTTGTTTGTGTTTAAAGTAGATTTGCAATTTCTGTTTTTTTTTTCTCACTCACTGTATTCTTTCTGTGTTCTTCAGGCAGTAACTATATGTCTTTTTGCTCTTCACATTTAATGTGGGAATCTGGATGAGCAGTGTATTCTATTAAACATGTGGCAATCATGAATTTGTATTGAGATGTAGCCTAATAAATTGTATGCTGTTCTTACCTTTAGTATGAATTTAGTACTGAATTCAGTATTTTGTGTATTTCAGATGATAAAAAGGATATTGACCATGAAACAGTGGTGGAAGAGCAGATCATTGGAGAGAATTCTCCTCCAGATTACTCAGAGTACATGACAGGGAAGAAACTTCCTCCTGGTGGAATACCTGGGATTGACCTCTCAGACCCCAAGCAACTGGCTGAATTTGCTAGGTAAGTAGGAAGAAAGGAACTTTAAAATTGTGTTCTTTTCATTGGTTTAATTATGAAATGGCTAGGCAAAATGGAATATTTAGTATGGCTTACTATTCTATTTAATTCTATTCTAAAGCAAGGGACTTAACACAGCATCAGGTACTCTGTTCTGAACTAAAATAACAGGATTTAATATTCAGTAGTGAATTCTTCAGTGTATTCCAGTCTTTAGTTCCATTAGGTAAGACGGGAATACACTGATAGACTGCATCGCTCTACGTAACCCTGCTTTAGGATTGGACTAGATGGGCTCTAGAGGTCCCTTCCAAGCCCAGCAGTTCTGTGATGTGTCAGATTATTTCATGTGAGTAGACTTAAATTCGTGAGAACCAAAGGATCCAAGAAGTGAAATGCTGCATTTGGGTTGTTCAGTACAAAATAGCAAGGCTACAGGATCTAGTTGGCAACTCCACTTCCTGTTCTTTTTCACCTGCTTCTTAGGCTCGAGATTTTAAATCGTGTCCTGCACTTTCAAGTGCCACTGATTGTTGCAGTTTCACAGTTGGTAGCTATATTGCTTGGATTTTCTCTGGTGAGTCAGAATTATCACTCGTTTACATAATAATAGGCTGACCTGAACGACAAGGTGACTTTCGCTTTCAAACGGCGGTGGAATGACTTGCAGCGGGGCGGGGACAGTGAAAGTGTCGGCTGGGCCGGGCTCTGGTGCCGGGTGCTCGGGGCAGCCCGTGGCCACCAGAGGGCACCCCCGAGGCCAGCGGAGGGGCCGCTCGAGTGCCCCAGCGGGGCTGGCTCTGCTGGCCCGGGCCCCTCGTGCTGCGCTCAGCGCAGGGGCAGCGTGAGCGCTGTGCCTGAGCGGTCTGGGCACGGCTGCTGCCTGTCTCTGGCTGCCAGATTGTCACAAGCTGAAAGCAACATGTGTGTAAAGCCACATTCGTTTTCATTTCTTTAGCAGCTGGCTGTTCTTCAGAGCGTAGGTGCACACTTCTGACACTCAGAGTAGGAGGACAGTCAGATGGTGTTAGCCTTACTACCTAGTAGAGGGAGAGTGTACCTTTTTCCAGGTACTTGCTAGGCGCCGGTGGCTGTTGATACAAAGTTCTGGTCTGGTTTCTTGGCTAGCTGGATCTTGGTGTTCAGTGTGTGCATTTACTTCTGTTTCACCTTTTTGATCTTGCTGCTTTTTACAAGTTTTGTCCTGGTACTCTGTAGTGTGTTTGTGCCGGAGGAATTACAGCATGGCTGCATCCCACAGTTACTTTCACTAAAGCCATTGAACTATGAATTTCGAAGGCTCCTAGTAAAATAGTTCTTCAGGATTTTCTTACTGCTTCAGGTTGTCTGATCTGGAAATGTATAAAAGCCCATCACAAACAGCTGAAAACAGGGTTCTATCTGAAGTGATGGGTGGATTTAGTTATTGATACTCTTGTTTTGTGTTTCACTATAATTTATCAAAGTTACTGTAATTTTCTCTAGGACTTGCTGAGGAGTTCATACATTTTTTTTGTGAAAGCAAATAATTTAAGGAATACTCTTGAGTGTACATAGTGTTCCAGTTCTAAACTGTTACCTACATATTTTTACTCATTGTGTGTTTAGAATTGTGCTCTCCATTACTTTAAAACATGCTAAAATCTTTGGTTCTATTAGACACTGAAGTACTGAATAGCTGTCTTTTGATAGGAAGTAGAAATAGTTCCTTGCAGGGTATTCTCCATGCAAATACTGAATATTTTTTTCTTCAGATTGAGTTGAATACTTGAAATGGTTGTCAGGATTTGGGCTTCTTGAAATGACCAGGCTGCTTCTATCAAATATGCCTGCATATTTCTGAACTATATTGTAAAACGTTTTAGTTATGTTTCTATTGAGAAAGCAGTGGCTGCTGGTAGTATTTAAAAATTATTACTTCACTGTATTTATGGTAAAATGTTCTAGGAAGTTCCAGAGCTGGAATTTGTAGCAGGTAGTGGAAAGATTCAGTTTTATGTGTACAACTTCTTTTCTCATAGCAGATAAAATATAATCATTTCAGTCAGAAGATAAATGCATGATGGTAGAGGAAGCACTTCGTGTGGATATCACCTTTAGTAATATAGTCATATTACTATATATTACATATGTTACTATATAATTGTAATATCCCCTAGTTGCTAGAAAAATTGTTCTCATAGCTTAATTGTAGATACATGAGAATTTAATGCATTTTCTAAGAAAGGCTGATTTCTTGGTCAGAATTGATGACTGTCAAACTTTTACTCTTGTTTTATGTTATGTCTTAAATTATTGTGTTTATTTATTTTTTTGAGACTGAAGAGTATGGGTTAGAATTTTATTATTTCTTGTTAAGGTCTTGTCTTCTTGGAATGAAGTGTGTTGCAGGGACTCCTTAGCTAATAAGATGGATTCAAGTACTGATACCTGCAGACTGCTGTTCAATTGCTTGACCTTGCTGTGTACAGTATCACTAGGAGCTTCACACAGCAAGCTGGAAATAAAAATTTGGTTTATATAGCTGGAGTTGGCTTTGGAGGTTCAAGGAATACAGTTTTTTTCATGCTAAAAGAATGTGTGTGTTTAGTATAAAGTTCTCTGAAATTGTCAAAGAGTGCTCATTGCTTTACCGTTCAGAAGCTCAAAATTCTCAGTAGCTGTATTTTGAAAACTTCTAGCAGCACATGAAGTTGAAAATTGCTTCTAAACTTAAGTAGCTTCACGTGCTGTAAGGTTTTGAATTACAAATTTGTATTTAGATTACCTGAAAAAAGAATTGTGGCAGTCCACATATAAGGAAGTGTGAACTGGCTAGTAAAATTGTATGCTAAGTGCATTGTGTGTAGTTGAGAGAAGGTTATGTAAGGATGCTTTTTGGTTTTCATTAAAGTAGGAAGGAATCTCACCATACATTTGTAGAAATTACCTCCTCTGAACCAGGCTAGATCCATTGTTTATAACAAACGGTAGCTTATTTTGATTAAGAATAAACTGTTTTGAAATACTTGCACTGATTATTAAGAGCAAAGTTCTGAGGTTGAGCTTAAACAGACAAAACTCAAATTCTAGTGGTAGTAGATTTTGAGCAAGGTTCTGGTATTCTGATTATTATTTAGTTAGTGAAAGGTAATGCAGGGACCAACCTGATGTTTGAAGTTATTTGTAGCTCTGCAGCCCTTTAAAAAAAATAATTAAGAAGTGTAGTAATTGAGCATCTGCAGTGGCCAGCAGTGCTCAGAGCTCAGTGGCTCTCGCAGAGCGAGTGGTTGTGGTGTCTCTTGCAATACAGTTGTCTTTCACTGCCTGGTTTAGAGCATATGTCATTGAGTCATGTAGCAGGAATCTAAATTCTTTAACTGGAACTCTGACAGTTTTTCCTGGAAAAGCTCTTATGCATTCTATGATTCCATTGAAAACATTGTGAATAAATAGGCTGTGTCAGAACATCGACATGTTCAGTAATACACAGATGAATGACCATAAGTTACACCTGGCTGGCGGTTTACCACTTTTTGCTGATTACTTTATTCTGTGTTAGGAGTCTTGAATTTTCTCTAGCATGCTTTAAAAATGCAATAAAAAAGGAAAAGGTGGAATTCTCTTGGGCAATCATATCAGGATGTGAAATGTTAATTGTGAATGATCTGCTCAGAAGGACAAAACCTAATAAATTACCGTGTTTTCATTTGATTCCTTTGACCGGGAAACTACAAATCCCTTCAAGTGGAGTAAAATGCTTCATCCAAATCTAAATTGATGACAGCTCAGTAGTTAGCTGTGAAGAAATCATAGTTGCTTGGTAGTGAAAACTTAGGAAGGTAGCAGGGATATTTCTAGAATGTGCATATGGCAAATTCTCTCGAAGCAAACCACTAAAAAGGCTATTCCTGGTTGTCCTCTCCTTCTCTCTTGTCCTCCAAATACATGACTGAACTGGCTGAAGACAACAGAACACAGACATCTGTAAAACAAATAAGAAGGAATATCCTATAGCAGGGAAATTGGCAGAGTAATGGGTCATGGTGGTAAAACCTTCATTCTTTGTGGTTTTATTTTCTGCTGATGTTGGTGTCTTTTCTGAGGGAGAGCCATTGTGAGGACTGGTCTTCCTTTCTATCCACTTTCCAAACCTATAGAAAACAGAAGAGGAAACTGCATTAGAGTTTGAAATTGAACACCCTTCTTAGAAGTGGCAAAGCCTTCTGTTCATCCAGATTTATGACTTAGGCCTCTTTATAAGGTGTATGCTTTTGTATTCTTGTTAGAGAAGCTTAAAGGGCAGTAAAGTGACAATTGCTTTACCCAGTATTATTCTAAGGGAGGGGAGATCTGCTCCATGCCACACTGCAGAGGTCACTGTCCCTGTTTACACATATGATATTCCTCATAACTGGAACAAACCTAGGGATAATTTTTGCCAGAATCGTGGAGTGAATGAACTTCTTATGGCAGTTTTCTTCCTAATTGTGACTGAAGCAGGTAAGACACTGGTTGTTCTTGGGTTGTGTGTAGATAGATTCCTAGGACACTTTGTGCCACTCCCCTTTCATCTTGTTTATCCAGAAGCCAGTCTAGCCAGTTCCAGGAGTTGTTCAGCACAAACAAACTCTTGCAGTAGCACGGGGCTGTGACCCTCAAGTTGGTTCTGCTCAGCAGGGCAGTTCAAGGGGAATGACAGAATGAGGGGAACACAGCAGAAGTGTCAGTAACTTGCTGTTGTTGAGAGTGGATAATTTCCTCCACCTCTGACTGTTCCTGGGGAGCCAGGAGGGTGGACATCAGCACAGGTGAATATCATTGCTGGTCATCAGAGACCTCTAAGATGTGTTAAAGGAGTTGGCTGAAAAGAGAGTAAAGCTATTAAGGTTAGCTTCATGTACAGAGGGAGCAGAAGCTGAGAACACAGAACTCTTTAGCAGTGGCAAAAAATGGGAGATGATGGAGCAAGAGGGAAATTCTATACTGTTACTTGAATTATATTTCTTTTCTTCCCAGCTTTGACATCGTTTCTATGGCTGCCTTTTAAATTGCATTAATTGGCAAGTCTATAGGTTATGGAGTTTGACAGGGATTTGGGGTGGGGATTAAGGTTCTCTTAGGGTGAAGTACTTTCAGTTCAGCTATGTAGATTAAAGGAGGTGGATTTAACTTTCAGGTAATGCACAATGACAATATTGCTTTCTTTATTTTGAGAAACTGAGTGGTTTAATACCTGCGATTTCACTCAGTCTTCCTTATGCATGGATAAGGCAGCATGCTTTTATGCAGCTCATTCTGTAAAGCTATTGGGTTACACACATTCCTGCTTCCTCTGCTGTCACACATTCCCTCTCTCCACTCCCCCAGTGCAAGTTAAGAGGTAGCCTTTAGTTGCAGTGTCCCAGTGACTTGATCCAAAAGGTACCCTTCCTGATTTTCACAGTTAATTGATTTGCAGTTGCCTTTACTAGGCTCAACACATGTAAACTCACCGCAGAAATGAAAATTTTGGTCTTGCCATGTAAATTGACTTTCTGCAAAGGCAGCTGTTTCTGAAGTTCCACCCCAGTACTAATGTGTGTCTGTAGTTGTATTAAGTAGTGATATTTGTTAGAGTTCTGTTTTTGATTAATGTTTCAGGCTAAGAAAACTTGGATGGAGCTGGTAGAGATGCTCTACTGGGTGGGAGCCAAAAGTCTAATCACCATCTGCAAGAGCTACCTGCACCAGTGTAATTAAGATGAACAGCACAGATTCTAGTCTGGTCTCCTTTTGCAGAAAGTTAATTTTAAAGTAAGACCAAAATATTTTTTTCTAATGCATTGAATATGTAAGTCTTGAAGTTCTTCCTTGAGGGATTGTCCATATGGCTTCTGCAGTTTCATGAGCAAAATGGTGTTTTTTGACACAATGATCTACTGTATCTGTGCTTGTGTGTTTATGCCCTCATGCCTTCAGCCCAGGTGTACAAAGGGCCCAGCAGCTTCCTCCTGACTGTGGCACTGAGATACAACCTGGACACCATTTGCCATCTCTTCTTTTGCATTGTCTGCTGCTGTTTTGTTGATAAGCCTGGTTATCTCTGGAACCTTGTGCATAAGCACTGTCTTGTTCCACAGTTTAGGCTTAACTTGCTGTGCTTACGTGAAAAACGAGAAGATGTAAAATTGCTCATTTTTTAACTGAACTTTTTTGTATTTGTGTCCAAATATTCAAGTATACTACTGGGCTGGTATTGCTTAATTTAGAAACAAAGCCTGAATAGCAAAAAGCCCTGGATGGACATTCGTGTTATATGCCTGCTCAGACACTGAACTGGAAAAACCTGCAATCGGTTCCTCAAGCTTCCATGCTGCACAGGCCTGGGGTATTTTCCTTTTCACTCTACCTCAACAGCCTCTTAGAGATGGCACTGTTGCAGCATTTCTTTCTCAAAGATTGACTTAATACCAGAGGTAAAGATACAAGAGTCAGGAAGAGGATTTAGCACAAAGTGTAAGAATGCAGGCACTGCCCACTAAATCTGTTTTCCACAACAATCTCTTGTTAGCAGTTCTCTTGGTCTAGTCACTCCCTTTACAGGTGGCCAATTAAGACTTTGGAACAATAGTGGCTTTACTCGTTCTGATCATGTCAGGGATACAGATCTCAGACTTCGGAAGTTTTTTTTTGCTTAATTTTTTTGGGGCTGGGGGGATGACTCAGCCAACATTTAATAGGTTGATTGAATTAGAAGGAGGTGTTTTGGCACCAGCTTTGTCTCCTAAGGATGTTTGTTCTCTAATGGAATTAAATCATGACACTCTGTTCTTTCATGTCCTGCCTCGTCATATCATTCTTCTGTGATCATTTATACAATTACAGATGTTCATTTCCGTCCCTTTTCCTGTTTTTTTTTTTTTTTTTAAATCACAGAGATATAATAAGGAGAATCCCATGCTAAAGGTAATTGAAGGTTTTCTGTAGGGGTACTGTAAAGACAGCTTGTGTGTGTGTGTGTTTTCCTACAGCCTCAGTACCTGTAGTACTATTGAGTCTGGAACCTCACTGGAGAGTGCAGTCAGTCAGTTAATCCCAATCACTTGTTTGGAGTCAGGTATTTTAATACTTTACTCAAAGAGACTGTGTAAACTAAAAACAGCACAATCATTCTGTACTCCAGTTGGATTATAGAAATTAAGTCTAATCAATAAGGTCAACTGGCTTGGTCTGTAGTCTTGAAAAAACAAGTTACAGTGAAAACAATGAGGAGACTACTGTACAGGAACAAAAATAGTTTGCTGTGTTCAGAATATTTCTGCCCTTAAGTTGATAAAATCCTAGTTATGCTGCTGGTTGTGTGGTGCACAGGAGGAGCTTTGTCAACACAAATACCGTACACCATTCGCAAGTCACTGTTAATATCTGTAAATGTGTTTGTAACCCTGCAGGAGACTGTAGTGTTCTTCAGGTTAGCTCTGTACCTACGAAGTGTAGTCTGGAGATGCTGAGGCAAACAAGAGTTTCCCAAGTGCCCACTTAGAGAAAAGAAGAAAAGCAGCAGCTAAATCCTTGGGGTTTAGTGTTGTCTGTGAAGTGGCTGTCAAGTGCTTTAGTCTGTAGATGGTCACTTGAACTCTGCTAAGTCTGCACTACTGAAAGGACTCAACGTGAGGGACCAGAGATAGCTGACAGAGCCAGAGGAGACTTATCCCTCGCATATCACTCCACTGGCAGTTGTAAGATGATTTTCCTGGGTCTTGAGGACTTCTGATGGAGTTGCTTTCACTGCTCTTGCCTTAATTCACCCTCTTCTCTCAGTATTCCATGTGAAGGAAACAGGTGAAAGCAGATTTCATCTGTAGGAGTGTGACAGTACCAAAGAAGTCTGGACTCCGCTTGCAAAAACCAAATGTTTTTGTGGTCAGAATGGAGGCATTTTAGTTTATTTTCCCTACAGCTCTTGGGAAGTTTTTTAGTGTTTTAAGAGCTGCTGTTTAGCCATTGTTACATAAATTAATAAAAAGGGGTGTAAAAATGTACATATATGCATTGTTTGGAAATATATTCCACCAACCTTGTTCTTTTATATCAGTTTTCAAAAAGAGAACTCATGCGGGTAAGACTGTCATGGATAGCAACAGATACTTTTCCTTCTTGACATTAAGAAGAGTGATTCTGATAATTCCAATTATCTTGTTAATTTCAAGATACTCATTCTGTTTGAGACACCACCAAACCTGTGGATTAATTTACAGATATGATACATAGCCCCCTTGTTCCAAGGGAACTGTTGTGTCTTGTACTGCCAGGAAAAACAGTTCAGTAACCCACATGAGCAGACTAGCTCTGCTTCCACAGCAAGGTTTGGGAATGTGCAAAATCTCATTGCTTACCTAAGGGAATCTCAGCTGTATGGGGATCAATTTATTTACACCCACCTACTGCTATAGTTAGATGGAGAGAAACCTTTTCTTTTTAATTTATTGAAGACAGCACCACAGATTTGAGAAATAAAGACAGCTGAAAGTGCAGTGCACTTTCCCAGAATCACATCTGTCTCTTCTGACTTGGACAGGTGGTTGTTACAACCAAACTGTTCTAGGATTGTTTTGTACAGAGTCTTACTGTATGTAAAATAGATCTGACACATACAAGCAGTTTTGCTGGGCTCCTTATGTAGCAGTGGAGTGGCACCCACAGAATAGTCAGTTGCTGAGAGTGGAATCTGTGTGCACAATAGCTTAAAGTAAGAATAATTATCATTTCTATGGTTGAAATGGATGTCTGTGTTGTCTGTGTAGATTCCACAACTTGCCTGATTCTGCTTTCCCTGCTTCTGTAGAGTTTTCTTTAGAAGTCTTGTGTGATGAAAATGCTGCAGAATGATTGAACCTATACTCCTTCATGTTCTGCTACATGGATGGAGAGGAAGTGAAGCTAAATAGGCCACATGGGTACTGGCACAACAAAAATGGAGTTTTCAAACAAAACCTCCTAATTATAATTAGCATATGTCAGGAAAAAGAAATACCTCAATTTCCACATATTCAGAGGATTAAGAAGATAGTATTGAATGTCTTAGTCTATATTTGAGAGGTCCTTCTGGAAAAGCAGAGCATTCCAAATGCTAAATTATACTGTTAATATTTTTATGAAGGTTTTGAAAATGTTAAAGTGAATACCACTGGCACATGTAATACTGTGGGATAAAATGTGCTCATTATGTAGGCACTTAGGGGAGAAGAACTGTCTACTAATGTGTTTCTACTAATATTTTGTTGTATTTTTTTTATCTTTAAGAATGAAACCAAGAAAAATTAAAGAAGATGATGCTCCACGAACGATAGCTTGTCCTCACAAAGTAAGTGAAGTGCTCAGCTTCTGAGTGGATAGTAATTTGTAGATCAGAATTTTGTATTGATGTTTTCTCTTGAGAATGAATAACTAAAATATCTTACTGTTAATAGAATACACTCAGTTAAATGTATTTTAGTTGTCATTCTTTAGAGGCTTCCTTTAAAACCTTTCACTGAATAATATATTATTCCCATTCCTTGTCTTAAGGTTAGTGCATCCCTAATCTTCTGGTAACCATGATGCACAGTCCCTAACATGCTGTTTACTGTTGTGATTTCCCGACACCCAAGAATACATACTTGAAAGAATGTTCTGAAAGCTGTTCAAAGTACGTTCCTAAGATCTATATATCCTCTGCTTGGAAACTATGACAGATTTGGAGTCTAGATCAGGAATCAGCAATTTATGGTGCAGATGCCAAAGTCAGCTCTATTGGAAGACTCAGAATTACATTCCACAGAGCTGGAAAGTGCATCATCATGAAAGAGAGGCAGGCATCTTGGAGATACGATTCTGATCCACTGGTAGCAGGGAAGCTTCTGTCTTGAATAAATGTTGCCAGTCACCTAGATTGGTAGCCTGTGGCTTTACTGCATTATCCAGCTTTTGTAGTGCTTCTTTTAGCTGACTTAGTCTGTAACAAAAAAAGACAAACACAATCTTGCTGACTTCTGGTCTAGATAAGTGTGAGCCTAAGCAAATAATCAGGACAGATAGCTATTAGAGTTATCCTTTAGAGAGCATGAATAGAAGGCTATTTTCTGACAGCCGTGTTGTAAGGAATTTTCTGAATTCCTCTTTGTGCTTATATTGATTTCCAATTCTCCCCATTCTAAAAGTGTCATGTTTTTGTGTAGTACGGTATGCAGAGATAAGGGAACAGTTATGTTTACTCTACCAAGGAATTATACCTTCATTTCTTTCATTTACTTTTTCATAGCCTCAACTTCATCTAAATGGGGGGTGGGAAAAGAATGTTCTATCTTTCCATTTTCTATCTTGTAGTGTTTGTAGCCTTGATGCATTTATGAATTCAGTTTAACAAAAAAAAAAAAAACAAAAAAAACAACAAACAAACAAACAAAAAAACCAACATATTGTAGCTGTACCTGCTGCTCTCAGAAGCAAGAAGGGACTTTGAAATAAATGCAGAAAAAAAGTTGATGGTCTGTTTACTTTGGCGCTGCTTTGCCCCACCCAGTTCTGCTATGTACCCCGAATGGTGGCACAATATTTCAAAATTAGCCAAAGAGGTTCTAGTACCTGAAGAGAGAACTCCTGAAAGTGACATTTCACCCTATTTGTAAGAAACAAAGCTTTTTTAAATGTGTTTGTTTAGTAGGAAGAAAAAAAAAAAAGCCTGCAGAATTTAAGATTAGCAATTTAATGGTCCTTTGGGTACTGTTGTTAAATTTTATGCCTCAAACACAGCGATGTTGACATACTAGCTTTATATAAGTTTAAACAGCATCACATGTAGTACAAATAGGATTTATGATTATTAATAGGATTTGATGATATATTTTGAACCTTGAGGAGGCATTAAGAAGTGAAAAAAATGTAGAAAGTTTAGGCAAATAGAGCCCCAGGTCACTGCTGGCTTAAGCATAACTCTTAAGCATTTAACCTACCAGAAGTGGTATTCCTCTGTCAATGCAGGGTTGACCCCCAGGTTAAGACTTGTGATGCTGTACCCGAGTTAATGTATCTTCTGCTTTTGGATTGAGGTGGGGCTAACTCAGGCTATAGTCCCATCTTATTCCACTGCCCAGTATCACTCTGTGGGTTTAAACTGCAGCACGAGTGGCACTCTGTCCCAAGGTGGCAGTGATCAGTCTGCTGTGGCCAGTTTGGATAAGGTAGTTCCAAAGTCCTGTAAGTTGTTATGTGCTGGAAGCCCTCTTGTTCCGTTTGTTCTCAGAAATGAGGAATACAGAGACTGAAGAGGACAGAATGTTGGGAGATGGTGCACATACCAGTTGGTACTAGGGAATAATCTGTGGTATATTAGAGACCATGTAATACATTGTAGTACCGTTGTTCTCGGAGTATAGCACTTTGAAGAGTATGCCATAGGTATCCATGAACTCTTTTCCTGTCTTTTGTTTTATTGGTTGGATTTTTGTTTTGTGTTTGTTTTTTCCTCTGAAACCTGTTAGGTGCTTTTGTTTGATTTATTCATTTGCTTCTGTCAGAGCTTCATCTTCTCCATGAGACTGTCCTATTATTTGACTACGCATGGATCATAATAGTGAGTGAGGAAAGGGTTTAGGATTTTTTTTCTTTGGTATTGGGTTTAGGGGGTTTTTTGGTCAGCTTTTCAAATTATTAGTTTTCTTGTATTGCTTTTTTAAAAATAAATGTAAGGGATGTTCTTTTCACTGCCAACTCTTAAAGTATTCAGGATATAAAAGTATTTAAAATGTTTGTACTGTAGCAAATAAAACCTTCTTTATGAGAACTAGCTTATCTACTAATTGAGTTTCACTGTTCTTTTTAAGGGCTGCACAAAGATGTTCAGGGACAACTCTGCCATGAGGAAGCATCTGCACACTCATGGTCCTCGAGTACACGTGTGTGCAGAATGTGGCAAGGCCTTTGTGGAGAGCTCGAAACTAAAGCGGCATCAGCTAGTTCACACTGGAGAGAAACCCTTTCAGGTATTGGTAACCTGCAGGCATGAGTGCCCCCACTTAAGCTGGGAATACTGGAGACTAGCTATAACCTGGCTTCCATAGGACTTGGGCATACTAGGGCTTTTCTAAAATCAGATGAGGCACCTGAAAAACTGGGAGCCCCAGTAAGTTAATTAGGCTATCATTTAATTATTTACATAGACTTCCCTTAGAAATTGGCAGATGTGATGTACATGGGAGATACCTTTCAAAAAACGATGTAAAGTTACTCTCTTTAAAAATGGAGTCTGCAATTATTAGAGAAATAAGAACATGTCTATTTTGCCTCATCATCTTTTCAGCCTAGCGCATGTGGACAACTGAGACTTGGGGCTGTTTGCTCAGTTACCTCAGGGTATTAATTTTCAGTAGGGGTTATTAATCAGTTTTCAACAAAACGATGGAGTCACTGAATCTCTTTCCATTTATATGGAGTCACATGAGCTTCTGCCACCAGAGGTCCCCTACCCTCTTCATATGATAACCCCTATAAATCTTTAAAATTATTCTTAGTCTTGAGCATATACATGTTCCCCAGAAAACACTTCAGATACGTGTTTTTTATGTTGCTGATTATTTTCTAAAGTAAATTATTTCAAAAATTGCAGTCCTCAGACATTTACTTGGATGCATATACTGAATATTCAGTGTGGTAAATGTAAGTTTTTGACATTAAATGTGCTGTCCTCTTTATATCAAGCCTATCTTAAAAGTAAAGCAGGTAAAATGAGAAAACCATTGCAAGTCATCACTCAAAGGGGGAAGTTCTGATGTGGAATCACATTTCTGTTCTGTCATACAGTGTAGGTACTATTTCACATGCAGAGAAGGTGTTTTTAGTGGAAATGATTACTTGCAAGCTGGAGGTCATTTATTTCCCTCTTTGAATATAGGTTTTAGTGCAGTTCACAGGGGATCCCCACAGCTTTACCCATAATAATCTTCAGCCTCTGGCTTCATGTTTAAGCAGTCTAGTGAATGAAAGACTGTTTTTCTGGTCAGTGAGGGAGATGAGTTCCACCAGCTAACAGAGTATTTCTTTTCCTTCCAACAGTGTACGTTTGAAGGATGTGGAAAGCGTTTTTCACTGGACTTCAATTTACGCACACATGTGCGAATTCACACTGGTGACAGGCCCTACGTTTGCCCGTTTGACGGCTGCAATAAGAAGTTTGCGCAATCAACCAACCTGAAATCTCACATCTTAACACACGCTAAGGCCAAAAACAACCAGTGAAAGTTGAGCAGAACGTTCTTGAACTCAAAGCATCTTACAGGAAAATCAATTGGAAAGAAATACGCCTCCCCTTTGTATATTGTTTCTAGGAAAGAATTTTAAAAAAAGAACCCTACAAGCCTAAAGGACGTGTTTTGATAAGTAGTAAATAAAAAGCAAAAAAAAAATCACACAGAAAACTTTGAGGTGACATTGTTATGATGCTCCACCTTGGTCTGTAACCCCGTTTCAAGAACACGGTGTTTTGTAAAGTGTGGCCCCAACCGGACGGGTCAGCTCATGAACTTGCATCAGAAAAGACAATTCTTTATACAACAGTGCTAAAATTGGACTTCTTTTCACATTCTTATAAATATGAAGCTCACCTGTTGCTTACGATTTTTTTTAATTTTGTATTTTCCAAGTGTGCATATTGTACACTTTTTGGGGATATGCGTAGTAATGCTATGTGTGATTTTCTGGAGGTTGATAACTTGCTTGCGGTAGATTTCTTTAAAAGAACGGGCAGTTACATGCATACTTCAAAAGTATTTTCCTGTAAAGAAAAAAAAATTATATAGGTTTTGTTTGCTATCTTAATTTTGGTTGTATTCTTTGATGTTAACACATTTTGTATAATTGTATCGTATAGCTGTAATGAAATCATGTAGTATCAAATATTAGATGTGATTTAATAGTGTTAATCAATTTAAACCCATTTTAGTCACTTTTTTTGGAGAAATACTGCCAGATGCTGATGTTCAGTGTAATTTCTTTGCCTGTTCAGTTACAGAAAGTGGTGCTCAGTTGTAGAATGTATTGTACAGGCACTGACCGTTTATTAACACCTGATAATATGTACATCCCCCATGTAATAGAAAGGACAACAATAAAACAGTGGTCCTAAAGAAAGAATCTGGCAGAAAATGATCTGTAAGCGCAGTCAATTTTCTTTTGTTGTCCAGAGCAGTTCTAGTTCCTCTTGACCTCTCAGAAATTGGAAGCTAAATAAACTCAAGTTTCCTTTACTTTGCATTCAATTACAGTGATTTGTGATGCAGTTAATACGTGATGCAGTTAGATATACCACATCAGGTGGTATATCTAAACAGAATTGCTGACTGTAATTCTGGTTTTGAGTGACCTAGACTTCCATTAACTGGAACGGTGGATTTGGAGACTTGGCAGTGTAGTGAGGAGTGTTCTGTGTGCCTGGACAGCAACTAGGTAAAACAGTACAGGAAGTAACTAAATGGAAACCTTTGTTTAGTCAAGGTAAGAAATGTTGGCAATTTAAATGCAGTAACAGTAGAAAGTGGAGGAATGGTAGGGTTTGGGTGATCATACCAGGAACAAAAGAAACTGTTTCTTCTTTTGGCTGACTTGTTTGACTGTAATGATAAAAATTCTTGGAACCTTATTGGACACCTTTTGTTTCAAAACAAGAGCTTGAAGTTCTAAGAACTAAATGGAGTTTTGATGGTCTAACTAAGAGTGGTTACTTATCATTTGTTCAAGTGTTCAAAGAAAACTTAGCAATTACTATAGTAAAATATGACAGATTAATAAACAAGATAATGCAGAGAAATGCATAAATTATTTTTAATGGCATGTAACATTTTAATGCAGTAAAAAGTGTTGTTAATCTTTTTCTGAATTCTGTTCTTAAAAGGTTCATCAAAGTTTTCATTGCTAATACTGTAAAACTTAAGTCCAATGTTGGTGGTAGTGGCAAAAACATGGGTAATAAAGAAACTGCACTTAAGACCAAGGGAATTTTCATCCATACATAAGTTAATCTGAACACTGCAACTCTAGTCTGAGGTTGTTAGGGGTAGAAAGAAAGTTTGGACATTTAATTGTAAAGTATGCGTTAGAATTTTGGCAGTATTTTTTCTTTTATATATAAGCAGTTTTTGAACAGGACAATATACTGAAACTTGTATAGTTATAGTTAAATTAAATTCTGTATACAGTTAAATTAGTGTCTATTCTTTTTGGAAGGAAATAAAATTAATTCAGTCTAGTTCTAATTGACCTTATATTTTTTCTTAAGCATTATCTGTGATGTTGTTAGGCTTACACAGAAGTTTGCTTTCCTTTGTCATAAAGTCATTTATTGAATTGCAAGGTGTCAGTACTTCATCCTTGAGCATACATTAGGGACTGAACTATGTTACCTTGAACATACATTTGAGACTAAGCTATGTTAAATATTGATTTGAGGACCAACTGGGAGCTGTAACTGTTATTGCCTCTGGTTATTTTGCATCTGATTACAGAGAGACATTTCCATCTAGGCCTCAAATCAGTAGCACTCAATATACTCCTGAGTGTAAGTAGCAACACGCAGTATCTTTGAAAGGTCTTGCTTTGTAAGTACTTAATTCCATATTGGGTATGAATAAATACTAGCATTGAGCAGCTGCTATAAATTGTTTAAGCTTTTAAAGTATAATTGGCACACCTTGCTCTTGAAACCTCCTGCTTAATTGATTCCAGAGTTTTCCTCAAGGTTTTTCAGTGAAGAAATTACAGGATTTGAGAATAGCAACAGTTGACTTGGAAGCCACCATTCCCAGCGTGCTATTGAGTTCCTGCATTACACCACCAATTTGTTCAGGTAAGGGGAGGAGAATCTGAGGGGTGGTAGAAATGTGAGTTTAAAACTGGCAAAAAAATTCTGTGTTTACTCATTACCCGTGTTCTACTGCTCATTTGATTGTACATATACCTTTGGTTCTGCTGCTGTCAAAATGAAAGGCAGACCAACTTTGAAGGTAGAACTGACTAGAATTTTCTCTATTTGTGGTCTGTCAGTAAATGCAATACAAACTGAACTTAAATACTAATTACTTGTGGAGAGTGTTTCTTGAAAAGGTTCTAGGAGGACTACAGGTTCAGATTTGAAATGCTGAGATAATGAATTCTTAGTGAAACAGAACACCAGGGCCTCAGCTGAATCTGCACTGAATTTTAGTTACCTTCTGTTTGAAGAGGGTCACTGTGGAATTGAGGTAGTGCATTTTGACTTTTCCCCTTAATGGCTGCAAGTTGTCAATCAACAAAGCCAGATACCAAACACATCCTAACAGCTTGTCAGCAATAATGTAGTTTTAAAGGCAAGTGGAGATACTTTCTGCTAATTCTACAGGAGGTGTAAAGCTAAATATGCAATAATTACCAGAAATGGCAAGAGTATTGAGGCTTTAAAATGCTTGAAGAAAGTGAATTCCTTCAAAGTGCTAGATAAAGAGGCATAGGAGTGGTAATAACAGGTGCTTCCATGTGCTCATCACATAGCTCACAGGATATTTTGTCAGTATGCTGAGGAAAAACTGAGGCTAGTTGGTTTTTCTACTCAATTAAGATGCATAAATTCGAGGATAGTATGTGCTGAATATCATTCTTCCAAGTGTTTCCTTAATGCCTTGGAAAAATTTAGAAAATCTGGAATTTTCATCAGTACTAGACAGATCTAGGGATCTCTCTAGAGATCAGATCTAGTGGGAAGTCTTAATCAGTCAAGTGGCAGCTGCTACTGCCATTGGTTGGTCTATAATGTGCCATCTATAATGATGGCACTTATTCTAAGTTTAAGATGTTTCTCATCTCTATGGCACCTTCTAAAATCTGCTGTGTAATGGTGGCATGAGGGGAGGAGTAAAGCATGTTTATGTCAGCTTTTCTGCACTAATGTTCCTGGAGCACTTAAAGCTTCGGAGGGGAACCTGGGGTGGATTTCAGAACTGAATATGGGGTGTGAATTTTGTGGGCAGGAACACACATAAGAGTTGGATTTCAGTATTCTTATTCCTGGCTGTGTAAATTGAATACTTTAAAAAATATTTTCCTTGGGAAAGTCCCAGGGCAAAAGAAGGAAAATTAAGTAGAGCAGAGGGAGTGCAGCCCTGCTGCTGAACACAAGCAGAAACATCTGCACAGTGACCTGTAAAGACAGACATGAACAGAGCAGGACTGTATGTCCTTATATTACAGTATTCAATATTCAGTTTGATAATATGAATTGGTCTAGTGTCAGGTTGCAAGAGTGTGATGCTGGCTTTACAGCAATGCTTAAATGCTACCTGGATGGCTACTAGTTCAATTTTTTAACGTAATTGAATCAGTGGTCCTTTTCTCAACTTCATTCTCTTTGCCTAAGGGAAGCCAGCTTTTATGTGTACTCTCAATGATCCTATATTATTAACGCAGTTTATCTTGGAATTTTTCTCAGTCCTTTTCTCTGAAAATTGTCTAGAAAGAATTTTCTTTGGGGCAAGCACGTCAGATCGTGTATAAGAATTAATGTGAATTTTTCAGGTATTGGCTTCCCCTGTAGTAGTAGGAAAACACTCCAGCTGTAGATAAATTAATAAGATTCCTTATAGCAACTGGGTTTCAGACATCTGTTTTAGGGTTTTCCAAGTCTTCTGTTACTTTTTCTAAGAGAAAAGCTCTAAGCCTGGGTGCTGGTTGGGTACCACAGCTTTTGTTGTGTGTTGTGGTGTGGACATGATACCCTCTTGTAAGCTGCTGTTCTCACCAGGTTCCTGTGTCTGCTGGGAGCTCTCCTCAGGAGCAAGCCTGAAGTTCTGTCCAAATGTTGCTGAATTTTGGGAAGGAGAGACAGGGATGGAGAGTCTGTGGTGTCCTTGCAGGATTTATGTGTGCTCCTTTTGCCCAACACTTAAGTGATGTTGTAGGTTTAAGTGTGATTCCTCTCTAATCAGTCTGGTATCAGGTGGCATCTGTGTCAGTGCTTTGTTTCAGTCGGTTCAGAAACTCCCGGGTAGCGGTTTGCCAGGAGATGGCAGTGAATTACCTGTTTGCATGGCTTGGCCAGCAGACAGAATGGCAGTGTCAGGGTGCCCTTGCCAGCTCAAGCGTGTGCAGGGTGTCCTGTGGCGTTCTGTGGATCTTGACAGTCCTGGAGCATGCCAGTGTCAAAGAGTAAATTACCCACACGGCACTCAGAAGTATAAGAAGTACAGTTGTGTGCTGATTTCTGAGAGTCCTGAGTGTGCTTGTGCATTCAAGCACCAGCAGGGCAATGAAAATGAAAGACTGTAAATCAAAACTCTTGAGTGTGACATGGGTCATATATACATACATCTATCAAATATTTATGTTAAATAGGGAGTAATGTGGAAATCCAGTGATCAGTGGTATTAATGAATGCACATTTAGCTGTGAGTGGCTATTTTGGTTAACTGCCAGACCTGTAAAACATCACTGCTTCTCTCCAGCAGTGGTGTCCTAAAATGTCCAAGCTCTTCTGAGGCAATTAGGACCTGTTGCTGCTCATAAGGTGTGAAAGGCCATTGCAGAGGCTGCAGAACAGGACCAATGTTGCATTTGGAGTCCTTCATTGCTGCTCTTTAGGGGATCAGAGATCTCAACTAGCCTGTTTTCCTCCCTGCGGCAGGCCCACAGAAAAGGTCTATTTCTGAAGGATGTGGAGAACAAATATTTTTGAGATAAATGATAGAGCATGTGAAGACTGTGGCATAATATGTACTGCTTGTTAAATAGTGGAAAATACATACACAAAAGATCTTGGTGACCAGATAGGTCCTAATGTCCTTTGGCTAAAGCTCATCTCAGGAGCTGGTTGAAAGACAAATCTGTGGAAAGCTGCCTTGTTGGTTAGTGTTTTGATTTAAGGGTTTACAAAGTCAGGTGTCCTTTAGAGCTGCAAGATGGACTTGCCAAGGACCTCACTGACCTTGCTAGTGCCAATTTTGGTTTACAAAGGTTTTGACTGCCTCACATGTGGGGCAGCATGCATCTTATGCTTTGACTTATTTTATCAACACATTTATTTTTTTCTCAGCCAAACAGAAAATTTGGCCTTTTGATATAGAATCCTTCAGTTTTCAGTCTTAACTGATTTTTTGACTGAACCTCCAATAGATTAATGTGAATCCAGTGACTCCCATAGCTTCAAAGGACACACAAATGTTTCTGGTTTGAAAGCGAATTGTAAGGAATATTTATGGGAGGTGTTTAGGTTTTCCTCTTGTGTGGTCGGTTGGTTTGCTTGTTTTTATTTTTTTCCTCCTGCATAGGCTAGGGACAGGGGATTTCATCTCAGTTTTTTCCAGAGTGTGAAATGAAAATGTGTCCAGTCTCTCGATTAAGAACTGGTAGGGAAGCACTACCTGGATTAATTTAAGGGTAGAAGTAATTTTTACGTTTACCTTCTTTAACTGCAGTTAAAATGTTTGAATTTTATTACTGGCCTGTTTGAAAAGCACCTCTTACAAATTCTTCCTAAGTGAAAATACCTCAGGAAGGTATTACAATGGACAAGGAAGAAGGTGATTGCAACACTGAAGTATTCCTGATCTACAATAAATCTCTGCTCAAGATAATAGATCAGATCCTAGAAAAAGAATATTCATTTTATTTTGTAACAACTTTAATCTGGCCAATCTGGCCAATCTGTTATTGCTTCTATTCTGATATATACAGGAAACGGTGCAGACCATTGAGGTCAGGCTTCACTATGCTTTCAGTATTTTATTGATTGACACATGGATGTGGCTTAAATGGTACAAGTCTATTTTTACTGTCAATAAAAAATGCAGTGTGCTTCTTTCAGTAAGAAAAACAGTCATAATAAATTATAATAGTGAATGGTAACTAAGCAATTTGGCTGTGTTAGTTGTTACATTTTATAGACCCTAAGAATATTTTGTGAACATTCAAACTTGACATTCTTCCATTTATGTCAACCTATAGGGCATTAGTGTCCACTGCAGACCTTGCCTTGATTTCAGTTTATTTATTGATGAACCTGTATAGCTCAAAATTATTTTCCAGGTCAGTTCAGTTAAAACTAGTAATAAACTACAAGTAGAAAAGCTTTTACTGTATATCTTATGTATTATTGTGCATATTATGTCGCTTTTTTTCTGTTAGTGATGACCACTTTTGCAATTAGTGAGGACATCGCTAATACAAAAATTGAAAAACAGTTGCACTGGGAAGATGAAAATGGCTTATTTTCATTTGCTTGTCTCCCCTACTGCCCATGAACACACATAAATTCCTGAACATGGAAAGCAGCAGTTTGCTTCTTCTTGATACCAAAGGCTGTTTCCCTTAGATTTGGCCCAGCTAGTTCTCTGTTTCCCTGATCTCTTGCCGTGTCTCTGAGCCCCTCAGACCTTTCATCTGTCTCTATGGCTGTGGTGTTTGATAGGGCATGTTGGCTGGGGTAAGCTTCTATTTTCTCTGCCTGTTTTTCTGGTAGAAGAGGGGTTTAACTGCACATTCTGCTAATCTAAGGGTGTTTGGCACTCTTCTGGGTTTTAAATTGTTCTTTAATTGTCCACAAATTAAAAGTTGGGCTAACAGCAGCTAATTGAACTGTTAACATCTGTTTTCCAGCATAATAATAAATATAATAACTTCAAAGAACAAACACCTCTTTTCTTTGCAAGGTCAACATTTACATTTGTGTCTCTGTCTTTTTCCCAGTATGCTGCTGGTGCTGCACCTGCAGTGGACAGGTTTTCATCCCTTGAATGTCTTGCTACCCTTTTACCTGAACCATATAAAAAGTTTTATCATAGAATCCTAGAATGGCTTGAGTTGAAAGAAACCTTAAAGATCATCCAATTCCAGCACTCCCTGTCATGGTTAGGAACACTTTTCACTAGACCAGGTTGCTCAGACCCCCATCCAGGCTGGCCTTGGACAATTTCAGGAGTGGGGCACCCACAGCTTCTCTGGGCAACCTGTGCCAGGGCCTCAGTACCTTCACAGTGGAGAATTTCTTCCTAATATCCAAACTCAACCTGCCTTCTTTCAGCTAAAGGCGGTTACCACTTATCCTATCACTGCAGATATGCAGAGAAAGACAAGGCTGAGAGGACAAAAAACTTGTCATGTTACAGACCTGATAAATTTCACTCATTCTATTATAGTAGCTTAGTCAAGAAGCAGTATGCATGGATAATTTTTCCCTTCTTGTCCTAATTGGACATATTTATGCTATAACTTCTAAAACTGGCATGACTCATCTAGTTTAAGAAAGAAGGCAGAAGGACTTGGTAGTAAGTTTCATTTTCAGTGATTTTTACATTCTTAATCCCTTCAGTTATTTGGGAATTGCTTGCTAATAGTGTGGAAATGAGGATCTGTGAAGGCAGGTTGTACTTCTGTCTGAATTGGCTCACATCTCAAAAAGTCTATCATGAAAGAACTGTATCATAATTTAAATGCTGAGGCTATTGTCTAGCTTGATTTAATAGAAGTCACATGGATTTCAAGCAAGTGACATCAGACAAGGCTGAAAGCTGGCTTTAGCCTCTTCTCAGGCTTGTTGAGTAACATCCAGTGTCTGCTACTGATTATTTAAGTTCCAGATGGATGAATTTCTGGAAAGAATGCTTTAGTAAGCACTGCAAGTAAAACATTGTATAGCCCTTTTCTGTTTTGATGGTATTAGTCTTCTAAGGAGACACTGTTTGCTTATTCCAGGTTTTTGTTTCTGTTCCATAGTTCAATGTTGAACACAGTTGTTGTTCCTGCTGAGAGAACAAAAGGTACTTGACTGGAACTGACCCTGGTCATGGTCAGGTGGAGAGGTGGTGGCCTTGCTTTTTTCTGATCCAGGAAACTGATGTTTGACAGGGTTTGTGTCAGCCACATGTATCTACCCCTTAAGAAGATGAATTAGTAGAACCAGTACCTGAAATAACCTCTGAAGAGGAGGACATGAACCCACTGGAGTGAGTCCAGAGGAGGGACACAAAGATCATCAGAGGGCTGCGGCACCTTGCCTTTGAAGACAGGCTGAGAGAATTGGAGCTGTTCAGCCTGGAGAGGAGAAGGCTCTGAGGACACCTTCCAGTACCTAAAGGGGACTTCCTGGAAAGGTGGAGAAGGACTTTTTACAAGGACATGCAGTTATAAGGGGTAACAGTTTTAAACTGAAAGAGTAGATTGAGATTAGGTATTAGGGAGGAATTCTTTACTGTGCGGGTGGTGAGGTGCTGGAACGGGTTGCCCAGAGAGGTTATGGATGCCTGGTACTTGATTCTGATGTGACCCTGCAGGGACCCAAAACTTGTCTTCCCCACTTGTGGAGTGTTGCTGCTGGTCAGCACAGATTAAACCAAATAAATCTGATTTTATAGAATATATATATATATATGCAGAAGAGGAAGCATCTAAGCAAAGAGGCAGCTCTTTGGCTCTAAAAGCAGGATTGTTCTTTCAGTAGAGGAAAGGTCAGTTTGAAGAAGTGAGGCCAGGCAACTTACTTTCTTCGTTCCAGTGATGGGGCCTAAGCCAGAGCAAGACCCCACCCTTCCCAGTGGTGCACAGAAGGCAGACGTGGAGCAAGTGTCCCCTGGCAAAAAGCAGAAACCCCATCCTTACACACGCTCGATTTAACACAAAAAAAAACACTAAAAAAAAACCAACTTGAAAGAAGCAAAGGCAAAGTTTTTAAAAAATTTATTCCCTCACTATATATACAAGAATTAACATACTCCTGTACAAAGGTGTAAATGGTTTTTGCTGTGATTTGTTGTGCAGATGCAGCTTAGTAGACAAATTTAACATTCAATTTGAATCTCAGTGCAAGTAGGCACTAAAACATCCACCATACCTTCAAGGTATAAAAAGACATACCAATTTTACAGATTTCTCCAGCATATTTTGTTACAGTGCAAAATGCTATGAAATAACGCTTCTTTAGAAAATTCATATAAATTAAACACATATTGCACTTGTCCCAACCAAAATTGTAACAAGTTGTACTTACTGAACTAGTTTGATATGTTTTAAAACATTGCTCACACACATACTGTCCTTCCTCCTGGCTATTTGTGCCAAATATGGGTAGCTTTTAGCTCAAATCTTAAATAACTGTTTGTAGCTCTTTGGCTAATTCAATTCTCCTTTAACAGACTGGTAAAAAAATTTACAGCAGATTAATGTAACAAGAAAATTCTTTAAAACCCTTTTTAGTCTTCTTTCCAGTAGCACTGTAACTAAAAATCATAAAAATCAGTATTGTTTAAATTCATAATGCAAGTGTATTGAACAGCAACCATTTCAGACACTTACACCCCTATTTTCTGGAAAGGTATGAAACCTCCAGTCCTAAATATGTATGTATTTCTAAGATACTTCAAGCTGCTACGCTAACATTGCAACCACAAACATTTTGTGCAATACCACAGGCAGGACTTTGACTTCTGTACATCACTGGCTGCTATGAGGCATGTTGGGAGAAGTGGTGCAAAGTTGCGTTAACTTCAGAGAACAAAGTCCACTGGACTGAACTACTCAATACAGTCTGTGCACCCACCAAAGGAGAAACAGAGGTGAGGGCAAACAACACCAGTCCTACTAGATTTGAGTTTCCCATAATCCTTACAAGCCTTGAGATTTAAAGGAACAAGTGCATTTGAGTGTAGATGCTAACTTTGTGCTTAAGATACTTATTCAAAGCTGAAAGGTCAGGGAGTAAATTAGGTACAAATGTTTTTTTTTCCTTTTTTTTTTTACAAATCAGTGTGAACAAAAGTTGCTACTAAAACCATTGACATAGAAAAGTAAAACACAGGACTAGCTGAATGCTAGTCCTTGTCTTTACAGTTCAGGGTTACCTGCAAAACACCTCCACCATTAAACTTCTTCCCCCCTTCTTCACCTTCGAGGAGCACACTTACTCCTGTCACATACAAAATGAGTATTTCTTTCATGAAAACATTTCTGCGTTCAACTCAACTTAGTCATTCAAAACCTGAGTGAAAGAAAACTCGATTTCTGGTGCTAGAACACTCTCCAGAACCTCTTCTGGAACCACAACAGCAACCTTCTAAAAGCAGGTCCCCCTCTCACTTGAATACTACTAGATATGGAGTCCTGAATAAGGCAAGATGCTGTTTATACAAGTAGTGAGATGAAATCCTAATTTGATACATTTAGGAATTCTTTATACAGATAGCATAAATCTACACTACTTGTGTGGGTCAAGTGTTCGTGTTTCACAAAACCCAACCAGCAGGGCTTTGGATGAGGAGAACAAAGATAGGTGTTTCACAAACTGGAAGGCTGATGGATTACTGGACCTGGTTCACATTCAGGAAGGTTGTCATCTGACTTCATGTACATTAGGAACACAGTGACAGTGGCAAAGGTAGCTGCATTGACGGGAAAAGCACGGAGAAGTGTGGAAGTGAGACCTCTCGTGAACACCCTCCAGCCTTCCTCATGGTAACTCTTCCTGACACAGTCTAGGATGCCATTGTATTGAGTGACACCTCCGACTCCATCGGCCTGCAGCCGGGATTTGATCACATCCATGGGATAGGTTGAGAGCCACGACACGATTCCCGACATCCCTCCGGAAAACAGCAGCTTGGGAATAACGTAACTGTCTTCAGCTTCGCAGCCTAAATACCGAGTCATGCAGTCATAGGTCAGGAAGTAAAAGCCAAAGCTTGGAGTTTCTCTTATGAAGGTAGAGACCATGCCCCTGTTGATACCCCTCAGCCCTTCCTTTTGATAGATTTTGATCAAACAGTCCAGAGAATTTTTGTAGTTCTTTGTTTTTAGTTTATATTCTCCAGTTCCTTGAAGCTGCATCCTTGTCTTTGCCAGCTCCATGGGACAGCAGATGACACACTGGATGGCCCCAGCTGCTGACCCTGCAAGGAACTGGTTCAGAGGAGTGTCTTTGCCCAGAGCACGAAGGGTGTTTCCTTGCACACCGAACACCAGCGCGTTAATGAACGTAAGTCCCATCATTGGTGACCCAATACCTTTATAGAGTCCAAAAGCCTAATGGAAGAAGGGAGGAGAAACCGTTTTTAACAGGGGTGTGGATAACCTCAAACAGCAGCACACAGCCTTGCTGGCTCTCCCTTGTACCCCAGCTTTTTAACAGTGGCCACATCAGGACCACCTTGTTTTGTAATAACAATTTCATCTCTGCCTAGGACACAAACATCTAAGCAATTTAGCAGTACAAAAATATAGTTGAACACACCCAGAAAATAATATTACTTTACCCAGAGGAAAGTTTTCTGCAAATTTTACAATTTTTCTTTTTAAGTAGCTTACTTAGAGCCTGAAGTCAGCTTTAACAATGGTCCTAAAATTTCAGCTGCAAAAACACCTCACCAATTTCTTCACTCATAGCATAGATTTTCAGAAAACTAGTTATTTAAATAACTTATTATTTTATTTAAAAAGTTAACCTCAAAATACCATCTTCTGACTTAGTGATCTTTGCACGATTTCTGGCCAAGTTCTGACTACAATCTCTGCCCTACAGTCATGTGAGGTTCAGAGCATGCTTTTGCTGTTGATCTTCAACATTTGTCAGCTTTTTAACAGCTTTCCCACCCTCCTGAGCCAAAATATACAAAGATTAAAAAAAATCAAAATGCACAAAGCAGTAATTTTGTACTTACAGATTCTTGCTTTATGATGGACTGAAAGCAATGGAAAGTCCCACGGTAGAGAGGTTTCTCTACATTTTGAACTTGCAGACGAACCTATAAAAAGTTGTGTGAGATACCAATTTGTACATCAGGAACAGCCTAAAGGGTAAGCTACCCTGTCTGGTACCTATGTGGAGATTTGCTACAGCAATGCATATGCCAGAGCACGGGCTGGACACTGGAATGCCATATGGGGCACAATAATTTGAAAAATCTTGTGTAAGTGTTTCAAGTTTTTTTGGGGGGTGAAAACATGAGGGAAGAGGATCATTAACTTCTTGTGACTATTAGCAAACCAATAAGTGGATTGACATCTAGAATTTCAAACAGATGCTTTCCAGTACAGGCTACAATAGGGTCTTTCTTTAGCTGCCAAGAATACTTCTGTTCACACTAAAGAATACCTGTGCAAACATGAGACAATTTAATAAAAATAAATTAATTGCAAGTGAAGCACGAGATTAGGATAATTTTAAAGGGATGGAAACTTTCAACAATACTCAGTGTTTCTAAATGCCAGATTTGGGCCCATTCATTGAGATCTGTTTTTTTTTTTAAGCGGGTAGCTGGGCAGTGACTCGTAAGATGTCTTTGCATAAGGGAAGGAGTAAAAAGCCATTTGTCCTTTTAAATTTTAGTCTGTTTTAGTTTTTTTAGCCTGCTAAATGCAAGCAATTGGTGAGGGTGTAGCTGTTTCAAACCTTTAAATATTAGCAATGAATTAACTTTTCCAAAACTGAAACAGTATGTTCTGCTGGAGGGATAAATGCTACTGTAACTGGTGGTCTTAGGAGAGATGCCTTTTCTGGATGTTTTTTAACCTATACTGGAAAATTCCAATTCTGTTTTTTCATGCTTATTTGCCCTCAGCACACTTTGAAAGAGTCTCAGTTCTACCTAGCTCAGGCAGGGCTCCACACTCAGCAATGAACTCAGTAAGTTGACTTCACTGGAATGATAAAGTTACAAATCTCTGTTTGATCTCCTGCATGGAGGCCTGCAGTGTTTTTCAGAAAAGATACTTATCAACCATGTAATGCTGCTGCAGCTCCAGGACAAAAAGCTTCAGTCTCTTACTCTGAGCAAAAGAGAAAATTTTTCCACCTATGTGAAAGATTCCTGAACTTTATTTTTTTTCATGGTTGCCTAAAGTAATAAAAAGCACCACCACAGCAATGAAAGACCTGTAATATGTGTGTCTAGAAAATGATTTATGGAGGTGGTTTGTCAAAATCCTATATTCAGGTTAGCTTTCTTCAAAGCAAAAAGAAATTAACAGTTTTAGTATTTTTCCTACAGCATGTTTCGCTTTGGGTCTTGCCACATCTCAGAACTAAAAGCAGGTTTACAGTAGGATTCAAAGAAAATAAATCCTTTGTCACTTCAAGTGACTTTTGGGGGGTAGACAGACTGTCAAAACTGTTGAAGAAGCAGGTCCACAAGCAAAGGCAAATCTTAACAAGCTGTCACAATTGCACAAACAAAGGTTTTACTCTAGAGTTTACTGTTATTGTTTCAAACCTTGTCTGTGACTTCCATACACATGGGCTTTGGGAGATTTGCAGCTTAGAAACCTTATTTTATCTTTTCTTCTTGTGTTTAATAGTTTAGAATTAGTCATATCTATGGGCTGAATTTCCTAGGGGCACACAGCTCCCTCTATTTTTGTCTAAATAATTTGGGAAATATTAACCAATTAAGCTTTTCTGTAGGGTAGAATATTTAGAGTGCTGACTCCCCAGGTCTAAGAATGAAAAACCTCTTTCTCTTGAGCACAGTACTGGTCACATAAGGGTACCCACATTAGCAGACTGCCACGATGAGTGCACATCAAACTTGCATTTTCATGCGTGTTAATGCCTTATTCAACAAGCTCCTTAGCACGTACAGCTATAGGAAAGATGAATCATGTGCAAGGTTTATCCACCTCTTCCATTCATTCCCAATATTTTATCTTCCTTCTTATTGGAAAACACTGTTACTGAGGTTTTATGTCCAATAATAACAACCACTACTTTCACATCACTGAAGACTTGCATAAAGGCACTCAAGACTAAATAAAAAAACCCAAACCACTACATCCTCAAAACAGTCCAAGCATTCAATAATGTGGGAAATCAGTGACTTCAGAAGTATTTGAGCAATGAAAACATCATCCAAGAACATGTAGTGGATAAGGCCTCAACAGCAGCATGTCTGAGATTCAGTTTTAGAGGCACTGTGTGTGGTAGTGTGTACAGCCAGAAATGCATAGCAGAAAGAAGGATCAGAATAAAACTACATTTTAAAAAAAGGGATATTTAAACCCCGCTCCCTCCATGCCATAGCTGTAGAAGAGGGACACATCAGTTTAAAATTAAAAAGGGAAAAGGCTTCATAGGTCTTTCAGTTCTTTACTTGAACTAATACATTTGGGAATAATAAGACTGAGAGAAACAGAAGTGTTCACCTGGGCTATACTTACTAGGTAACTCTCCCGTGATGAGGCTTATCTGTCATCTACAACAAAGTAACACTTTTGCTGTTAATGAAGACAGCCCCTAGCTCAGAAAGTAAAGGCAGTTAAAAGCAAAAAAGCAATTTTATACATTACATCAACAAACCAGGGATAAAGAGTTTGCCAGTTCTGAGGTCAGCTCAGTTGCAGGTTTTGCAGGGTGACTTCACAGCTTAATGTCTCCCTGTGTGTCCCACCATCCCCCTCCCCGCTCTGTGAAACATGAGCACCAGCCAAAAAAGAGAAGAACTTAGATGCCAAGACAGAAGTAAAACTTTGGCTTATCTATGCAGCTTTCCCATTGTTCAGTTGTATTAAAAATGCACAGTCTAAGGTGACTACCAGGTAGCCTTTTAAACACTACAGAACAATAAAAAGTTAATTCTCAACACATATACATACACGAGTTATGCAATGTATTTTTTTTTTCCTTAAAAGGTGATTAGTTTTTCCATGTACAGTGGTGACTATGCCTGCTAATAATACAAACATTAGGATTTGCTCTAACAAAATAAACACCTACAATACCTTCTAAAGGATATAAAAATATCATGTGTCACACTGGATTTCATAGAACATTTAGAAACAAATTATTTGCTTTATTGTAAAGCAAGATGCTTTTTTCCAAAGCTGATACATCTATTTTGCAATGATACATCTGCTGAAACCATCATGGGAGCCCATGTTTTTACAGTTAAATGTTTCATGCAATAGAAGCTGCGCCCCTTAAAAAAAATAACACAAAAACAACAAAAGCCCATCAACTAAAAAGCCCACACATGGTTACCTTTAGTCTGAGCATAGAATTTTAGCAGTTTTACTGGATTCAATGAAATGAGTGATCACCTTCAGTTAAGCATGTAAAACTTGGCAGGATGGGAGAGAAAAAGACAGCTGGCCCTGTACCACCATAATAAAAATTGTGCGAGTCTGGATGATGCCATCCCTGAAAATATATTCTAGAATTCAGCTGAATTATTTAACTGTCAAATTTACCACATTCTGAGCAACAAAAAGACAGATTTCACTGTTTGAGCAGCTTGCACTGCAAGCTTGCAAGGAGGATTACTTTCCACTAACTCAGGAATTTGGTATTGAATGAACCATGCTCTGGAATACAGAATATAGCAGGGCCCTCAGTAACACGATCAGCCCACAGCCTTTGCATATCTGAATTCAGCAAGGTAAAGGTATTCCAAATATACTACTATGTGGCATGCTGTCTGCTGCAGTCAAGTGACCTGATATATTACTTTAGCAGGGAATACACCAATATCCCTTCTAGTCTTCAGTGCAAGACTTTTGATAAGGCTGCCAAAAGATGACTCAAATTGTCATTCTGTTCTGAAAGATGGGCTTGGACTCCTGAGAGCCCTGGCTGAGGGACCTTCCAGGAGATCTCAAATCTTGTATTTATGGTAGATGAAGAATGTGTAGCACACACAACTAACCATCAGAAAACCAACCTGAACTTGGAAAGTTGCAAAAACATAGAATAATACTTGGAGGAAACGCCCCCCAGGCAAGCTCCATACTGTGGATTTTTATTGACTTCCACCTAGTGCTACAAATTAAGCAGTAATAGCAGAGCTCGAGGGGGAAAACAAAACTCCAATCTTTCAACCTACTACTAAAGTGGGTTTGAGTTACAAATGCAGAGAGAGGTAATTTTTGCAGTTAGTGTTGAACAGCTGCAGAGAAGTAAACTTCGAACAAAATTTAGTTCAATGCAAAGGTGAATTTCCAAATACCACGTTGTTACTGCACTGAACTTGCAGTTTAAGGCCAAGGTTTATGTTACTAAGTTTTCACTTCTGAAGAACTGGAAATTGAAGAACCTAAAAGAGTAGCTGTGGAGGCTTGCTCCAAGCTTTCCCAGGCAGATTTACACTCCTACAGTGTCTGGGGATTTTTTTTTTCCTCCCCCACTCCTTGGAGAAACTAAATTTTCTACTTGGAGGCAAATATATTTCATAATCAACCCACCTTAACAGTGTCAAAGGGGTGTCCCACCAGCACACCAGCAGCACCTGAAATGAATCAAATGCCATGGTTATTACTCTGAAGTTTCCTCCTGGGTCTGGGACTACAGCAGCCCAAGCAGGACCACCAGCCTGAGGTGTGGGTGCACAACATGGTTTGCAAACCAGTTAAAGAGCATCCCACCAAGTCAGGAGATAGGAGATCTACAATTCAATCCTTCAGGCCAGTACCAGGTGCCTTTATGCTTCTCAGGAAGCCTCTGAGGCACAGGCAGGGGCTGAGCTGTGTGACTGCAGACTGTGCCACACCATATGGAATGGGCAGCCATGGTGCCTGGCCTCAGCTCGAAGCAAGTGCAGTGGGCAGAAAATGCAGGTTTCCTCTAAAGGACAATATTTTATATTCACATTGCTCTGTGCAGGCACAGAAAACATGTAAACACCTCTAAAGGCAGCAGAACATTCCTGCTCTCCGCCTACAGCCCTTCCAGTCGTGACAGCAGCACCTGCAGAGGGACCACGCATTCCTAAAAACCTCTGCTTTATTCTGGCATCAAAGGACTTTTTAGAAGTCACGTGCAGGGCTATTAGCTACACCAATCTGAACGCGGGCTTCTTGCACACACAGGCTGAGGCACTGACTCCCGTGGCTCGGCACTTCTGTGGGCCGGCAGTCCTTAATGACCGCTGAGCACAGCGAGAAGCACGGAGCATCAGCGCACCTTCCCCGTTTGTGGGAGGAGGGCTCTCGTTCCTCCCTCCGTCTCTCCTTCCCCCGGGGAAGCCGTGGCAGCAGCACAGTGCCTGCTCCAGCATGCTGCAGCCCAGGTTGGCTGAGGGCAGCAGCGACACAGCCCAAGATAGAAAAACAGCAGCGCGCACTGTGCTCGGCACGGAAAGGCCAGCGGCACGGCTGACCCCGAGGGAGCCCTGGCAAGGCAAGCAGCACCAGGACGCAATCAGAGAGACGCCGAAAAAAGGCACATTTGCCAAGTTGGCAGGAAAACAGCGAGCGCAAATACCCGAAAAGACGCGAGAATAAGTCTCCTGAACACAATCTAATATCTGCTAAATATAGCAGGCGGCAGGCCGGCCGCAGATGCTCGGGGAAGCGCAGGACGCGTGTCCGCCTTCTCTCCATCTTAAAGCTGCCCGGGGTCGCTGTGCTCAGGTCGGGGTTCCCGAGCTCACCGCTGCCCCCGTCCCCTTGCAGAGCCCGGCGCGGCCGGGGGGGTCGGTGCGCGCCCCCGGGAACCCCCGAGCGCGGCCCCGGGCTCGGCCCCGGCTGCAGCGGGGGCCGCTCTCATCGCCCCCGGCACCATCCTCCGCTCCCAAAATAACAGCGCCGCGCCCGGCCCTCCCCGCCGACCTGCCTGCCTTCCTTCCGCGTTTTAAAAACATTTCGCTCTATCCCCTTCTACGCCTTTTCTACCTTTTATATTTCCCCCTGCTCCTCTTTCCCTTTTTCAGCTTTTCTTTTCTGCTTGGTTTTTACTGTTCTTTTCCTCTCGCCCCCTTCTCCCTCTCTCTCCCCTTTCCCCTTTTTCTCCCCCTTCCCCACCATTTTTTAATGATTATTTTCCCCCTGCAGACCCGGACACTCACCGCCAACGCATCCCGCCAGGAAATCCAGAGCCATGCCGGCAGCGTGGGCCCCGCGCTCTGCTCTGCGCTGCGCACCCACCGCCCAGCCCTTTCTACCCTGCCCAGGGGCCGGGCCGCGCCTCCGGGGGCGGGGGCGAAGGGACAACTCCCCCCCGGCCGCCCCCGGCCACTGGCGGCCGCTCGGGGGCGGCTCCCGGCGAGGGACGGCACGGAGATGCGAGTGCCGGGCTTGGGGGTGCCGAGATGGGGCTCCCCTTCGGCAGCTCCGACACCCCCCTCTTCCCCCGCCTTCAGCCTGTCGCTGCTTTCTCTGCGACAGCTGCGTAATGAAGCAGAAGTAAAGGGTGAAAAAAAATTGGGAGGCTGGGGAGGTGGTGGTTGGAGGATGGAGGGGGCAGAGCATCCCTCTCGTGGAGCATCAGTAGCACCTCAGTTGTTTTGGGTGGTTCGGGGAGGCTGTCCTGGGTGGTCTTGCTTCCTGGGAGAGGCACCCCTGAGTGCTTGTGGCTGGAAAGCCTGAGGAGCTGATATCATGAGGGTAAAATGCCTGTCAGACCTATTAGGAGGAAAGGCTGAGGAATCAGGGCTGTTCAGCCTGGAGAAGAGTCCAGGGAGAGCTTCCCAGCACACCTTGGGTTGGAAGGGAGCAGAGTGGGTCATCTTGTCCAACTTTCCTGCAAAAGCAGGGTCAGCCCAGAGCAGGTGGCACAGGATTGCATTCAGATGGTTCTTGAATATCTTCATTGAGGCAAAACTCTAGACCATTTCTGGGAAATCTGTTCCAGTCTGCAATCACTGCACAGTAAAGGAGTTCTTCATGTTCAGGTAGAACTTCCTGTGCATCGATTTCTGCCCATTGTCTCTTGCTCAGCACCACCAAGAAGAGCCTGGCTCCATCCCCTTGACACCCTCCCTTCAGATTCTCACAGACATTGATGGGGTCCCTTCTCAATGGTTTCTTCTCAAGGCTGAACAGGCCAAGTTCCATCAGCCTTCACCTTTAAGAGAGGTGCTCCAGTCCCACCATCAACTTTGTAGCCCTCAGCTGGACTCGCTCCAGGAGCTCCATGTCCCTCTTGTACTGAGGAGCCCAGAGCAGGACAGAGCACTCCAGGTGCGCCTCACCAGGGCTGAGTAGAAGGGCAGGATCACGCCCCTCCGCCTGCTGGCAATGCTCTGGAACATTTTGCCAGGGAAACTGTGGATGCCCCATTCCTGGAAGTGTTCAAGGCCAAACTGAGTGCCACTTCAAGCCACCAGTTCCAGTGAGAGGTGTCCCTGCCCATGGCAGAGGGGTTGGAGCTGGATGGTTTTTGAGGTCCCTTCTCACCCAAACCATTCTGTGATTCTATTACCAGACTCCGCCCCAAAATATTGTCCCAGACAGGGGAGGAAGTGTTGCACCAGCAGATATAGGCTTTGTGTGAAATGCTGACCCCATGGCACAATGGGAAATATGGGAATGAGGCCCTATCTTTGGTGGTCAAAGCCACAAATGAGTAGCCTGCTGCCCATGGGGCTTTGCAGAGCCCTGGCTCTGTCTTACACAGCACTGCTGCACTTCACCCTGCACAAGGGGCCTCTCCCTCCCCGCAGGCTTTTCTTGTTCCTCTGCATTAATTCTGCTTTCCTGCTAACATTGCCTGGCTTCAGGGTGCCCTGATGCCAGAGCCTTTAAATGGGGAGCTCAAGCTGTTGACAGTTTCCAAAGGGAGCCCTGTTTAAGCTGCTCGTTATTTCTGCAGGCAATGTCTGAGAAAGGGGAACACCAGTGGCCTAGAACAATAAGTAGCCTATTCCAGCTTTGCTTAGAGTAACACGATCTTCTTCAGGGCCTGCACAGTCTAAATTGCTTTTAGAGGGTAAATTCCAGAAGCAGAATGGAAAAGCAGATGGCTGGATTTTTATTTCCTTTTTTTTTCTTTTTTTTCTTTAATTGCTTTCCATGGTATGGCAGTTGTTTTTAGGTGCAGCAGCTCCATAAAAAGTCAATAGAATCTTGCAGTGGAATAGCACATTAAAAATCAATCCAGCTTTCACCTTCTGTGCAAAGAAAGCACACAAACAAATGAACAAAGATGAGGATGCTTTCAACAAGGTCTGAAACTACTACTAGAGGAAAAAGCAAAGATAAACAAAAAATAAAACACATTTAGCAGGTCTTGGACTGTCATTAAAATTAATAAGTAGATAATGTGTAAGTGCAAAGTATTCAATGAATCCCTGACACTACACATATCTTCCAATCCAATGCTCATTTGGGTTCCTTCTCCTCTCTAAAAACCAGCAAACTGAATGAAGCACCAAGGTGTCTCTAGGATGGTTTGAGTTCCTTCTTTCACATCCCTGTCCTACCTGGGGATGACCAGTACTAGAGAGCAGGTACATGGGCTGGTCCTGCCCTCTGCACAGCATCAATGGCTTTGGGAGCTGCCCACTCCTGTTCTATCACCCATCTCCTAACAGGAACTTGGGTTTTACTGGGTACACATATCTACAGACAGTACTTGGGATCAGATAGGAATCCCTCATCGGTCATTTTTCCTTAAGCATTTTATGCAAGTACAAGTGGAAGTGACTTCCTGTGACTCTTGTATACCCTGGGTCCATGGGAGAAACTACAATCACATGTAGGGCTCTGCAGGTGAAAATCTGGATGTTATACATCTCTGTCTTGTAGCACAGGCCTTGGAAGGATCAGGTTCACCTGAAAGGTTCTTGGCCAAAGTGTTTTAAATCCTTTATTCAAATCCTCTGATCTCCGAAGCAATCTGTCTCAGACGAATTACCTTCTCTACCAGAAGTGGTTTTGTAATTCTAATGTTTTCCCGCAATGGTCAGGGAAAACATTTTCTCTCTCTTTGTAGGCACTTCTAGGGTTTCAGATGGAAGATGGTTTCAGTCTTAGTGTTTTTTCCTCTGAATTATATTAATAATTATCTTCTGATCTCTGAACCTTCTTACCCCTCTCTTTCTTCAGCTGATGTGGAGTTCCTTGAACCAAGCCCTAAGGCCTTGCTGAGTGAGTTCTGGGAGATTACCCTGGGTATTTGCAGACAACAGTCTTTTCGTGTATCTGAATACGAGATCAGATATTCACAAGAGACATAACATAACATATAACATAACATATAACATAACATATAACATAACATATAACATAACATATAACATAACATATAACATAACTAACATAACATATAACATAACACAACATAACATATAACATAACATAACTAACATATCATATAACATAACACAACATAACATAACATGATATGATGTTGTTCACTTATGGGCAGCCTGTGACACATGATGTGCTCCAGGACACTTCCAGTAGATCAGCTGCATGCCACAATGTTCCCTACCTTGATGTTGCAGTTTTTTT